AGACGAACCCCTTCCTCAACAAGAGGCAGCTGGAGGGGCTCGGCGCCACCAAAGGAGAGGACTCGAATCGGCCAGGGGTGAAAGGCAAAGAGATGGGCGAGATGAGCGTCCGTGCCGGGGGACCCTCGGAGAAAAACTCTTTGCAGCATAACGGAAAGGTTGGCAAAGGAAGGGACCGAGATGTGGAGTTTAAAAACGGCCACAACCTTTTCATTTCTGCTGCTGTTTCGTCTGGTGGCCTTCTGAACGGCAAAAGCCTTTCTACTGCTGTTTCTTCAGCAGGCAACCCCGCATCTTCTGTGCAGACACACCATCCTTTCCTAAACACTTTGACCACTGGATCGCAGTTCCCCCTCGGCCCCATGGCCTTGCAAGCAAACCTCAACTCGGTGACAAATTCCTCAGTATTGCAGTCCTTATTTAATTCAATGCCAGCTGCTGCCAGTCTGGTCCACGTGTCATCAGCTGCAACCAGACTGACTAATTCTCACACTATGGGGAACTTCTCTCCTGGGGTTACAGGTGGAACAGTTGGAGGTAGGCAGAACTCTTTCTCTGGTATAAGACAGGGCCTAAAGGAAAGTCTGACACTGCCTCTCCAGGGGTGAAACTCTTTCATTTCTGCAGGATGTGAAGCAGATCTGTCCCACATAACCAGTCTCCTCTATCTCTCGGAAATGCTAGAATGAGTTCAGTTCCCCACAGTGAAATCTCATGAGCTTTGTCTACTAGATGAGCTTGTTGTACCACCTTAATGAAAGAATACACCCAGACTTTGTGATTTCATAATGTATGCTTGTTCAGATGTTGCTGTGTTGGAACCAACTTGGGTCCTCCTGCAGGTAAAAGAGTTAACTTGTCCTGGTACCCAGCTAAGGAGCTCTTAACTTGTCAACTTGAGTAAAGGTTGAGATTAGGCCTTGAACGGATTTAGCGTGATCCAGGAGGAGCAAAAAAACATCAGTGCCTCTTCAGAGGAGATGGTGTGGGGGATTGCCTAGCATTCTGGCTCTTGAGTGGACACGAAGAGCATTCCTTTGCCAGGAAGGGCAATGCCATATGCACCTTGCGCTTCTGGGATTCTGCACAGGCTTGGCTTCTGTGGCCCAAACTGGAGACAAGCTGGCAGGCCTAGAAGATAGTCTGAACCTGCCGTTTCTAAGTGTCCAAGGCAGTTTTTCTTACCTGTCCATAATCATTCAGGCACCATGTCGGGAAATCCTAACTCTCACATCTCTCAGCACGTAGATTTGCTGGAAATACGGTCTCCCCTCTGCTGCCCTGTAAGTGGGGAAGCAGGAGGGTGGGGAGGGAAGAGCAGCAGTTTGAGTCTTCAGATAAACAACTCTAGAGACCACGTAATCTCATCAAAAGTCTACCCGTGTGGTGTAGAACTGACAGTTCTTGGGTCTGACCATTTTTCCTCGTGGCATTTAGAGGTTGGCAGTAGGAAAGGTAAGTGAAATCTTTTGTACCTCCTGGCCTGCACCATTATCTCTCATTGCTTGCTGCCTCCTCATGCTGCATATTTTTGTATGGGGCTGTAACTATTATAATTTTGCTTTTTTTCTTTTTATTTTTTTTTCTTTTTTGTTTGGTTTCTCTTGTCACTTGAGACTGTACAAAGCCCATCTGTTGAAGCTGAGTTTTTCTCTCCTGTTTGCAGGTATTTTTAACCATGCGGTGCCTTCTGCCTCCTCTCCTCATCAATTTGGAGCCAGTTTCAGCAGCAGTGCTGTCTCTAGCAGCACCGTGCTAAGCTTAAACCCTCTGCAGGCTGTTGCCAGCACCTCATCCTCATCCTTCCCACCCCCTTCCTCTAATTTAGTAACATCTAGTGAGACTAGATCTGCTCAGCACCTCAACAGAGCGCCAGTGCAATCCGTTTTCCATCCCCCTGCTCCCCCTCCTAACGTCTCCTTGCCCCCACCTCCCCCATTGCTCGCGTCTAACTCCGAGCCCGCCCTCCTGCAGAACCTCCCCTCCATCCCCCCCTCTTCTGCTGCTTCTGTCCCACCCGCTAACGCTTCTTTGTCTATTAAACTAGCTTCTCTCCAGCACAAAACCTCCCGCCCCTCCTTTACAGTCCATCACCCGCCGCTGCCCCGCGTGGCGCTGGCACAGCCCGACGCCGCTGGCACGGCCGCCATGTGGGTCACGCTGGGCATGCAGCCTCCTTACGCTTCGCACCTTTCTGGGGTTAAGCCACGATAAAGAGCTTGCTTAGCTAACGGTTCTTATTTTGTAAGGTAAGGCTAGAGACAAAACAAGAGGAGTTTTGTGCCAGATGCTGAATGACGCTTCTTCCTTTCCAGAGCTAGGGTGGGGATGGGCTCCCTGAAATGGAGGAGCCCCCTAAAATGGGGGAAGCAAAGAATCGGGGGGCAGAGGGTGGAGAGTCTTGGTGCTCTCTGTTCTGGGAGTCAGGATTTCTCGACAAGGAGTGCTCGCAGGGGGACCTCTGGTCTGGCTCGTCTGACATAAGGATTATGTTCAGGTTGAGATCGCTTCACCAAAACGTTGATTTTTGAGGATCAGTAATCAAGAGGAAATGTCTATTTTTAAGTATGGTTTTTTAGAGTTATTGGAAGTGACTGTTGTCTACTTTGATATCCCCCTCCCCTCTCCTTGCCCTCTGACACAGACTGTTGCATCTCCACGAGTCCATGTTTGCATAGCGTTAGGGAGCGTGCTGCTGCTGCCTCCTGACTGTGTGTGGCAATGTGGGGATCTTCTCTTGGCTCTCAACAGCAGCTGCTCTAAAGAATCAAAAAATTAAAAATCTCTAGGTGACAAGCTGCAGCTTTGCCTTGGAGAGCAAACGCACTGCTCTGGCATTGCACTTCACGTGCCCTCTGCATCAGCAGAACACAAGCACAGGTAGCAGAGAGGGGCTGTAAGTGATCCCTGTGCTGCAGCCCTGTCAGACTGCCTGCTAGGGCCAACAGGAACAGACCCCCCACCCACTGCTGTATTTATGCTCACGGGGCAGTCCTTGGCTCCCTGGGTAGACTGTGAATGAGGACTGAGGGAATCCCCAGGGTTAACTGTGGTCTGTACTCCACAAAGGCCACAGAAGAGGGGAGAGTTTCTGGAGGCTGCATTTTTACTGAAGCAGGTATTTATAAATGTCTTCAGAGCAACTCCAGAATAACGTGTACCCCACAGAGCTGGGGATGAAAATACTCTGTGGCATCCTGCTGTAACAACCTGTGCTCTCCAAGTTCACTCGGTCTGTCAGGCCCCAGAGCTTGCTCCCTGCTTTTCCTGGAGGTCTGTGATGTTGTTGCTGTTCACTGATACCAAAGCTGCATACAGTATGTGGTTGAATTCTCTTTGCCGCTTATAAAACGTGTGACTCAATTACAATATACCTGAGAGATTCTTTCGACTGTGCATTGTGTATAGTGTCTTCATCATCCCACTGCTCCACAGACACAAACAAATCCTTGTTAGGCTTTTGTGGGGCACGTAAGTATTGTCTCTGTCCTCGTGTGCAAGCAAGCGAGGCCGAGGCCGAGTGTGAGCTGTGGTCCCTGGGTGCCAGCAGAGACCAGCAGCCTGACGAGGGCCCAGGATGGGCTTGAAAGACCTGAATAGAAACAAGATGTGGGAGAAGGGGTGAGGAGGGTCAGGCTGGGGTTTTGTGCAATGAGCAACTCGAGAGCAGTGTGAAAGCTGCTGCTGAAGCAGCTCCTGGAACCCAGTTCACATTGAGCTAGGCTCTGTACCATCAGATGCGATGGTTCCTGTCACAAAAAGGTTCTGAGCAAAATAAGCAAAGGACCAAAGTGATGTATGGAGAAAAGTAGCTGGGTGACAAAGCTGGATTGTGGAGTGAAGGAGCAGAGGTCGTGCTACCAGGAGATGGTGCATGACAGACCGACCGTAGCGCTGGTCCTGCTCCGTGTGACTCTGGAACGTAGGTCACTGGAGCAGTTTCCTTGACTTTGGTGTGAAGACGTGTGCTCAGTCCTTGAGGAACCCAGGCTGGCATCTGGAATTGAGGGCTGAAACTAACAGCTTTGCTTCTCAGTGGTTCTCCCCCAGGGGAACAAAAATTCAAAGCAGGTTAGTGCGTGCTAGAAAAAGGCACAGTGCTGGGTGGGGAGTGCTCTGCTCCCACCACCTCTGGAGGTCAGTGACAGGAGGACAGTGTGGTCCTGTTGAACACAGGAGTTCAATGTGGTCACACCATAGGAAGCTTTAAAAACCTCAGTGGCCGGGAGGAGCCGCGCGTTGCTCTCGGAGCATCGTGTCCAATTGAGACTGGGTCAAGAGATGCTCCTTCTTTGCTGGCTAACGAGGGCTTGGAGCAATGTAGAAATGACTGACACGTCTAACACGTGGTAGATTTTTGTCTTTTATTTAGATGAGTCTCTTCCTCTCCTCCTGTTGTGCAGGTAACTAGGATTTCTACCTCAACCCAATGTGACCTATGCAAGGACAACGTGGACCAACTTCACTCGGCTTCCACTGAAAGGTGCTCACCTGGCCTGTGCAGGGGTTTCTACTCTCTTACTACTGGACAAAATAAAAACACACAAAGACCTAAACAACAGAGAAAATATTTACTGTGAATCTGAGTAAAAAAGGAAAAAAAAAAAAGAAAAAAAAAAAGGCAAAAGAAATGCTTAAAGCTCCAGTTTGTATTGTTGATAGTTTAGATAAAGTATTTATCTTTTTTTAAAGTGAAACCAATTTTGACTTATTTTATTCCACCTAGAATCATAAATGCAACTTATTATTAAATTCTCTGACTAATAAAGGACTGGCACACCAGCAGAGATGTAAAGAGCCTCCTCTCGGTGCTATTTCATCCGTCAGAACTGTGCCTCTAGTTTGAATCCTTGGTGCTGAACTTGGAGGGTTGACCAACGCCAGACCCAGTTCTCAGAAAGCTCTGCAGTTGGTTTATTCGACTGACTCTGTTCATATACCAAAATCTGCTTGGTTTGCAGCAGGGTGAGCTGCAGAGAAGGGCCATCTTCGCTCTCCTGTGGGGTTTTAATTGGATCTGAGCCAGGCACTCTGTTAACTGGGTGGTTTTCAGTGGTGTTTGTTACAAAGCAGAGCTTGGTCCTCCCGTCTGGAGCGGCAGCTGGAGCTCCTGGGGTGGCCCAGGCCAGCTCAGCCAGCGCAGGCACAGTTAGAGCAGGAGAAATTCAACTCCTGCCCTACTCAAACTACTTCACTGGGCCGTTTGCGGCTGCCGGTGGCACTGGAGTCACTGTGAATTTTGGTAGCTAGTCTGGTAACTCGTTTTGGGACGTCGTTGGCGTATGAGCAGGGTGTGGAATCACTGGCATCGGTCAGGCTCGTTGTACCAGCCTTGGGAAGACTGAACGTAGTGCTTCTGTACTGGTGCAGGGAGCAGATTCTCTCAGCCTGTTGGTTTTGTTCCAAGTACAACGTATTTTGTCCGTAGGGTTTTGATACTTGATTCAGAAATGGCTCAGCCGTGTACACTGATCGACAAAGTGCATTCTGCTTTTCTATTTCTTGGGGTTTCAGTGGGTCTAAATGGTAGTTCACAAAAACACCACAATCTAGCTTACCGTGCTGCCACCCCCTCCCAGTGGTGCAGTGAGTTGTGTTGTGACTTGGTGTCCTGTGTACAGACAGCGCCGCCCCGAGCAGCGGCCGCCTTATGTAGAGATGTGATGGAAGAGGAGAAATCCCATATGCTTTATTTCATTTATTTTTAGATTGTACAATGCACAGTGGACTTGTAAAAAAAAATTATTTATTGGAGTGCACGAAGCGAGGAGGAGGAGGAGGAGGAGGAGGATCCGTTCAGTAGGAATCACTCTGGTCTGTAGTTCAGACTGGACCAAGCACCAATAAAGGAAACTACAGTAGAAGGGGAATTGCAACAGCAAAAAATGACTAGAAGAAAAACACATTTAGGCTTTGGGAAACACCTTCCTGCTAGCACTGGTGCTGTGAGGGCAGCCCTGGGTGTTCTGTGTCGGAGGCACTCGCTGCCCTTAAACCCTTCCTAGGTCCCCCTAAGGAGTCTCCCACCTCCAGCAATGAGGCATCCCACCCACCTTGGACTGAGCCCTGCCTGAGCAGCCCTGGCCAGGCAGCCCCTGGTCACAAAAAGCTGGGCTGAACCCATCAGCAACGTGACTCTTGCCTCTGTGTGTGAGAGCTCTGCCCTCCCGTGCTCTCTCCTGCTGCCTGGGCCTGGAGGGGTGGCTGTGGGAGCCGTTGGGTGGGGGCAAGGGGCTGTAGCAGCTCCTGCCCTCTACCAGGTTCAGTTAGACCCTTTCCTTGGCAATCTTAGTAGAGATTAAGGATGGAAGTGCAGTTATTTTGTTGATTCCTAAGTGTGTCTTCCATAGGCAGCCTTTGTGAGCAGAAACTGTTGATCTGACTTTGCCGTCGAATTCATTGGGGGAAGGGATTGATAGAAATCAGTCTGGAAATTTGGGATGTTCTGGAGCTGTTTTCTGCTTTGCGTGTGGGAGAGGACTTGACAGCGGTGTGCCCTGCTGAGTTACTGACTGAGATTAAAACCTGGAGGAGGACAAAAATGCTCAGAGGGCAGTAGCTGAGAAACATCCAGTAGCTTCTAGTGGAAGCTGTACACAGTGTATGTCCTGGAATCCAGGAAGACAATGTAACCCAGATGTTTTGCAGCTGGGAGTTGGGCAGCTCCAGCTTCTTCCAGATCTTTGGGTGACTGAAAGCTGCAGAGCAGCCTTAGCATCCTTCCCAGCAAAGGGCAGAGGGCTCAGGTCTTTGAAGGGTTTCCATTGGCCAGCGGTGCCCGAGCAGTTGCTGGAGCAGCAGCAGCCTTAAATCCATCTGCAATTTGTGTTGCTGATGAGAGAGATGAGGAGATGCAAGTAGAAGCTTTTCATCACTCTGCTTTTATCAGATCCTTTTCTGAAGAAGGACCAAGATACAGTGCTCGCTGGATCTCTCATGCCCCACTGCACCTCAAACCACAGAAGAAATCCAGCAAGAGAACTCGGCCACGATCGCTGCTCCCGTCTGGGGAGGGTTCACTGGACACTGCAGAGATGCCTCTGGAGGAGGAACCACCTCGCAGAGCCCTGAGGAGCTGCTGGGCTTTCCAGGCCCTGCTGGAGGCCCGTGTTGCCCCACTGGCTCCCAGCACTCCTTGGCTGAAGAGGAGGCCATGTCCTTGTGGGAGTGACTTGATGTCCGTGGGTTCAGAGTGTTTCAGGAACTGGTGTCTGGGGAGCAAGACAGAACTGTCAGAAATGGGTCAGTGGTGACCTGGCAGCGTTGGGTTGACGGTTGGACTCGATGATCTTAAAGGTCTTTTCCAACCTGAGTGATTCTGTGATTCTCTGACCCTTCAGAGCACAGGCCATGGACAAGGAGCTTGTCTTCTGCTCTGCAGTGGTGGTGTGGAGGAGCGAGCCCGCGGTGTCGGCCGTGGAGCTGGAGCTTTGCTGCTTGGCTGGTGTCTGTGGCAGGCCCTGCTGGGGGGCAGCACGAGACCCCTCCCCTGGCTCAGCACCTGTGTGCTGTCAGGATGCTGCCCCACGGCTTGGAGTCTGCGACTCTCCAGCTGTCATCCAGGAAGGCCAGAGGAGACCAGATGTGTAGCTGGGATGCACTTGAAAGGGATGTGGTCTGCTGGCCAGCCTGCTGAGCAGCTGCTTCAGCCTCCTGGGGTCTGCTGGGACCAGGCTTTCATCTACCTCCACGTCACCTCAGCGCTGTCGTTCCCAGCGACCCGGGGGCTCCATCCTGCAGCCCGGAGCTGCTCTGGGCTCCCCAGTGTCTTCCCCCCCTGCCTGGCACCCTTGGCACCATCACCTCCTGCTGTGTTGTGGAACTGCAACACGTTTGCTTGGGCATCAGCTCTCACCTAAATCTTCATCCTCATCCCCACTGAGATGTCCTTCCAGGAAGGTTCCTGATAACCCAGGAGCAGCGTGAGATGCGAGTGCAGATTTTGGACTGATGTCTTAGGATTGTGTTGGCTGGGAGATGGTCCCTAAAGAGTTGTTGTCTTTCCCACTCCCTGATCTTCTATCACTTTTCTAGAATCTTGGGCAAGTTCAACTTGTTTCTCCTCTGCCTGCAAGCTGGGGAGACCTCACCTTGCTGGAAGGCTGCTGAAGGAATAGCTTGGAGATGTTAGGATCTGATCCATATGGCTTCAAAAATAAGACCCTGGTGACCCTGCTGTAGGGGAGTACGGTGCCAGAGGTCTGAAACCTGTTTTCAATAATTGGAGATACTTGTGAGAAATGGAAGCCAAACAGTCCCAAAGAGGAATTCATTCCTTCTGCGTGACCACATCCTGCCGGGCCGGGTGGCTGCGTGGCTGTCACACGTGTTCCTTCTCCTCCGCGCCGCCGCTGCCAGCGAGGGACTCGTCAGGAAGCAAGAACACATCTTGTAGCACATATGTTGCCAGAAAAAAATGGAACTTCCTGAGCGTTGTGCTGAGCAAAAGCTGCACCCCGCTGCTAAATGTCAGCCTTGAGGAGCACGCCTTGCTCTCTTCCTTTTTTGGTGATTTGCTACCTCTGGCTCGCGCTTGCCGGGCCGAGTCCACCGAGACCCACCGTGCTCGGAGCTGGGAGGGCTCCAAAGGGCTGAGCCCAGGTCGCTCCTTGCTGCGGATTCGTCATTCAGCAACAATTCTCCATTAGCCAGGGGCGTGGGGGGCACCCAGCAGCCAGGTCACTGCTGCTCCTGGGGCAGAGGGAGGAAGCTGGAGGACAGAAGGTTGCTGGAGTGGAGCTGCTGTGCGGGGTGGCGGGGACATGGAGCTGTCCCTGCGCCACCTCTTGTCTCGGTGCCAACAGGGCTCGTTCCTGTGGGAAGGTGTGGGTTGGTCGGGATGTCCGTGACGATGGGAAGCACCTTCAGCTCGGCTCCAGCTGTGGGTGCAGTGGGAGAGGTGTGAAGGGGGAGCTGATTTTTGGGGAAGCTGTCTGCAGCAGGGAGTGCGGCACGTCCGAGGTGTACGTGGCATTTAGAGACAGCACCACCTCTGATGAATTTCTTCTGACAGCCAGAACTGGTGTCTCCCTGACCAGACAAACACAGAAATACTTCCTTGTGCTTCCATCTCGTTTCCTTCCTTCCTGCTGGCAGCAGCCACTTCATCTTTCAGCACCTGGTCTGTGCTCTGCTCTTGGCCAGGGTTTGGCTTGGCCCCGGGTGTGGGCTCTGCCCAAATTCCCAAATTCCCCCTGTGCCAGGTCTTGCTGGTGGTATGGACACATGGGGATGGTGAGCAGCCTGTAGGGTCTGGAGCTGTGATTGTGAAGGGATCAACTACTCAGTGGTTTTGTGAATGAAGAGCTTTCGGATCCCCAGGACTTGACATTCATCCTGACGCTCCCCAACTGCCACGCTCGGTTACTTCACCTCAAACTGCTGAGCAGCTTTTTTCTTTCTTTGGTCAAACTTAATGCCCGAGCGAGTAACTTCTTCCTTTGAAATCTGCTGAGCAGAGAGGTTTCAGGCTTGACAAGCTCCTCAGCTGCATAGGAATAACATTTCAAAATGGAGCCTTTGGTGCTGCTCGGCCACCACGGCTGGTCGGGGTTGGCCTGGAGCATGGTCAGGTCTGTGGCTGCCTGTAGGTTCCTGCTGTCACCCTGCCTGGGGAC